ACCCCGGGGCCATCTTCCATTTTTATTTTCCACTTGGAACAAGCCATGAAGCTGACCCCATCAAGTCTAGCCTGGCCCCCTCCAAAGCCTACAGTTTTGGACTAATTGAGGAGACTTGATGGGGTCAGTCTTCATGGCCTAATCCATAAGTGGACAATTAGCATCTTCTATCTTCTACACAAAAGTATTGTGCCTGCCACAACAACTGAACCGAACCATCTGCAAGTATGCATTCCTGCTGACGCCTGCCACAAAAGAACTAAGCACCCTGCAAGTAAGCATTGCACCTCCCACGAAAACTGAACAACCTGTGACAACAACAACAACTGCAGCTGCAGCTGGACAAAAAGCTTTGATCACCACTCTTCGCTGGCCAAAACCCATGGAACACCGAGCAACCGGGGGGACCAAAGCAAGAAGACCAAACACAGAAAAACAGGCAGCTGTTTTCAGCAACAAACAAGCAACAGGTGACGTCGCAAAGCAAGCTCCTGCAAAGAAACCAAGCAGCGAAACACAAGACACCAACCAAACCATATTCACTGCGCACAACATGTGCACAAAAATATACACCCAAACACACAAACAAGCAGACCCAGAAACAAAAAAACAAGAACCAGAAACAAAAAAAAACTCTTTCTGACTGCTGCTGGGTCAGACTATGGAGCGCTGCGCCCGTATGGTGGAGCTGGAAGGCAACTACACGACTGTCAACACCAGCTACCACAATCTACTCTTCACTGGCTCATGGACAGGCAACGAAAGTACAGACTGCGCGCCCAAGATCTATTCGCAGATTACACAAGTTCCAAAATGGCGGACTGGAATCACTATGCAGATGGTCATGGAGAATTCCAAGAACCAGCATGAACACTATCGCCGCACCAAGTGCTCAAAACTGGTGGACCAGTATGACAACAAGCGCCGAACTTTCTTCATTGAGCTTTCTGCACTTGTGCGATCGGTTACCTTCAGCAATGCGGAAGTCAATGCAGCAAGACCCCAAATGGTTTGCGTCCAAGTTCAAGCCCTCAGACAATCCTGAAGGATCCGACGACCGAGCCCTCACGCCCAATGCACTGACGCCATTAATTTCGATCAGTTCTGGGAGGACTTTGGTGGCTACGCAGCACCCGACTCGACATCATTGCTGAAGTCGGCGCATTGCAGAGTGCGGTGACCAAGGCAAGCGGCAAAAGTACGAGATCTTTGGCAAGCCAATCGAAGGCGCGCGCAGCACACAACCTGGATCTTGGACTTCACTTCAGGCACTTTCCTCCAGATGTTGGTCTTCGCGCCCAATGCATACAGGATGCAAGTTCAGCCAGGAAAGGAGAGAGCTATGCGCAAGAAGGCGTGATGATTCTCCTCATGCCTGAATTGCCAGACACCAGATGAGGTCGTTTCCAAGTCTCAGACTATGGCCACCTTTGGACCTTTGTTTCAATCGCGGAGGGAAAGCTGAAAGAGTTGCGCTTTGCATGCTGAGACACTGTCCGCCGTCGGAGGCCTTGAGTCAAGCAGCATGGTTGCAGTTCGTTTGACAGAGCAACGGATTGCAGACCCGAATCCATCACTGCAGCACAGGGCTCATCACTTTTCCCTGTCGACGCTGCTGCCACAGATTGTCGTGACTTCTTCGAGCTGGCTACAGAAGCGCGTTCAGTACCACTTCAAACTTCAATGTTTGCACGCGCTTGCCGCTAGCCTTCAAAGAAGCGAGCCACAGGCCGGATCAGATTTCTGGTCTTGAATCTTGACGCCTGCGTACAGAGTTCATGCTGGCAGACGGCCATGAATCCACCGAAGCTTTTCCAACCCCTCAGCTCCGGCTACGTGGAGTTCGGCAATGTCAGCAAGCACTCAAAGTTGATGGGGTGTACTTCATGAACTGTACAAGAAGAAGATTTGTTCCAAGATGATGCCAGTCGGAAAGAAGCCTGTGAGGGACGACCAAAGGTCTCTATGCAGAAGATCGCAACGCTTGCTTTGCTTGGCCTGGCGGCCAAACCTACAATGAGGATGTTGCTGTCAATGATCGTTCTTGCTTCACAGGTTCATGCAGCTACATCAGGAGAGATATGGAGCTTTCCTTTCTTCATCCTGCTCACCTTCATCCTTTTTGCGCGCCTTGGAGTAATGATCACTTGCCAACGCAGCGCTATGTGGAAGTCGTTGAACCCTTGAACGGCAGCTTCGAGCGCAAGGAGAGTGAGCAGAACACGAGCGGGTCAGTCAGACAAGCCCTCACGGGCCCCAATGCAGAGCGCACTCTGAACTTGGAGGAAGAGACATAGAGTTCCTGAGAACATTTGGATTACAAGTGCAGGAAGGTGCTTTCATTTGCGACCGAACTGCAATGGACTCACTCACAGAAAGCTATTTTCAAAGAAGCTGCGTCTCCAACCCAAAGCAGCAGTGGAGTTGAAGTTACATGAGTGGTTGAAGCACATGGCATGATGGTCGTTCGCTGTCCGTGGTTTCACGCCCAAAATCACCAAGGACTAAGGGCTCATAGGGTCTACTAGTCCCCTATTCAAGGGGTTGTTCTAGTTCTTGGTTGTTGTATGTTGTTGTTGTTGCGGCTGTTTTGGCTCCCAATATTCTTCAAACAAAAGCAAAAAATAACTAGAGGGAAGCCTAAACTAAGAAGAGGTTGTTGAGCAGAGAGGCAAGATAAATCAAACGCACCACTACAGAAAGGGCAGTTAAACAAGGAAAAACATGATCTCATTTTCTCAAGGCTTTGAGGGCACTTTTTCAAAATACTGTGTCTTAATGAAAAGTCAGGGTTAATAAATCCCTCCTATAGTTAATCCGAGCCCACAAAGCCGCCGGAAATTGCCCAAATTAAGAATAGTATTGGTTGTTACTACTACCACTACTACTACCACTACTACTGCTACTGCTACTACTACTACTACCACTACTACCACTACTACCACTACTACCACTACTACTGCTACTACTACTGCTACTACTACTACTACTACTACTACTACTGGGCCACCACCACCACCACCACCACCACGAACACCACCACCACCACCACCACCACGAACACCACCACCACCACCACCACCACGAACACCACCACCACCACCACCACCAC